TTGTAAATAAATAAATATACATATATAAACACCCAGACACTAGACCAGACATAAAAAATATATATATAAAATACAGCGATTTTAAAATTTAAAGCATTCTTTAGCGTAAAACTGGTTCAAGATATTCGATCAACGTTTTTTGGGCATTGCAATATTTAATATAAATCTGAAAGATCTTCTAAATCTTCATCTGTATTTAAAGTATTTCGATTAAAGTGTTTCGATTATTTTTCTAGATGATTCTTACTCGATATGCAGAGTCTTTGACACTGTCATGCCGATGTCATTACATAACCGCGCTATGCGTAACATAGCGCGTTTTTGTTTTCCCCTGCAACCGGCTCAATACGAAGGATTCTTGACAATACAACGAGGATAGTAAATTATGTAAAAGACGGTACAGTTTATAACATAGTTTATATATCCTTTACCATCTTTTCTTCTTGCTGTTTTGGGATTTCGACAAATTATGTGCTTGAAATAAAAGTTCTTAACGCCCGCTTTACTTGGGGAGTAAGCTGGTGATGCGTGACGAGAGCGTTACGAAAAGTGGGATGTTACGCGAACGGTGATTTCTTTTTGTTCAATACTTAATGTTTTGAACAAAACATTAATTTATAAATATATTCTACGTTCAAAGTGAAGAAATTGTAAGTTCACACAGATGGAGGCTCAGATCACATATAGATGGAGCTAAAGAAGTTTTACTTCAACCGTGTGATCTAAATAAGGCACACTCGTATTTTTATTTCAATTACTTAATCTATATTGATCTGATGTCTCCATTAAATACTTAATTGCCTATACAAGGTTTCATCTACATTAAACTTCTCGTGTCATAGAGATTTAAAGTCATATTATTTTTATACGTTTTGACATAACATACTTACATAAAACACTAAGTATGAAACTACTAAACACTGAGTGCATTATAAGATTGAAAAAATATGATGATTTAATTTAGCCATTAAGGTTACAAATTTGTTTACATATTATATTACCGCATAAAATCAGTTCCCTCGACCTCCCTAATTTTATTCACATGCATGTGGAAATAAGCTTAACATTGACCATCGAAAATTTATATGTTAAATTGTCTCATTTATCGACTTCCGCCACTCATTAAGAACTTAAAGAGTGGACAGTTTTGAGTCGTAATACGATCATTTAAATTGATTTACGCCATGGAATTGCTGACAAATTTAGCCATGTTTACAAAAAATAACTTCCTGCTCTTCAAGACACTTGATTAAGAGCTGTGGTTTACTTCTTCATTTTATACCCAGGTTCTCAAAGGAACTTTTTGATGTATCTTTTCGATGGTAATTATTTAAAACATTTCTTAGAGAGAATCTACATACAACACACATATAATAAAGATTGTCGTTGCTAAGGATATTTATAAATGTTAGACGTGGTTTTATGATGAAAAGACTAATTCAATGCAACAGAAAATCATTGTCAATCCTTCAGATTCAAGTATATGCTGAGTGGCCACTAAAATAAAAATCCGGCCAAGTGTGAATTGGACTCACTCACAAAGGGCTCCGTACCATTATCTATAAAAACGGCAAAAAAAAATCATGTCTGTTGTATCGGAGCCCCACATAAAAATATTTTTATTCTGTTTTTTAGTATTTGTTGTTATAGCAGCGACGGAAATACATCATCTGTAAAAATTTCAACTGTCTAAATATCACGGTTCATGAGATACAGCCTGCTGACAGACAGACAGACAGCGGAATCTTAGTAATAGGGTCCCGTTTACAGTTCGTACGCCAGCTCGCCTGCCTTTGGGTACGGAACCCTAAAAATAAATCAAAGCTCACTTAATTTTTATACTGAATACCTATCTGATCTCTTGCAACTCTTCTTCTGTTGCGAATATCGGTGATCATCGTTAGCCATTATGTGACCTTCGTGTTAATTTTGCTCCTCCATAAACACATGTTTTTCATTTCTCCCCGCTGGAATGCACCCATCACGGGCAGTGATCGCATGACCAGAAAATTCTAATTTGTATGAGCGTTTGTCAGTGCCCAATTGATATGCGTCAAACATCAGAGTGAATATTAACAAATTATCATATAAATAACTTGTTGTCATAAAAGCTAACCAGTACATGCTCGCAATGATATTCTTAATCATGATCTTAACCCACTAAACTGCCTGCGATAATCTCACGACCAACCCCATCGGCCTTGACAGAACAAACGCCGACTGTCTGTCGGTGTCACACGGAAACTGATTTTGAAATAATGTAAATCGAAACGAGGACCTTGATTTTTGCCAATGCTGTGTGGGCAGTGGACAAGTTTTTTTAATCGAGAACTGTGAGCGAAAAAGGTCGACGACCGAGTGGCCCAGTCGCTAAAATGCTTTTGGTTCAGATTCGATTCCCGCGTCTATCCTTCTTGCGTTAGCAATCCAAGTAACAAATAACCCATAGCGGACACATTATATGTCGAAGTAAAGACTGTAAAAAAATTAAAAACTTACATTTTCTACATATAATTTTTAGTCTTCTTTTGTTACGCTAAAGAGGTATAACATGTAACGTGCGTACACAAGTGTATACAGTTTGTAGTAGGGCCATGCAGCATTCCTTGCTGTTGCATAAATGTTATAAATATAAACTTTTTTAACAATACACTTTATTAAAAGGTGGAAAAGCACCTGCATCCCCAATATAGTTGCTTATATACTTTGGCGGCGATAATCACTTAGCAAAGGTGGAATCTCCAGCTCGCGGTTCATCCTCTTATTCAAAGATATCATATTTTCGCATTAGAAATCAGCAAATAAGACGTCATGTATTTTGATTTTTTTATGTGAGAAAGTGGCAAATGAGCTGGCGGCACTGATGTTAAGTGATAACTGCCTGCACATGGACATTTGCAACAGCAGATGCGTTGCCACCTCTTAATAATGTGGGCCCCGGCTAACTCACTCACCAGACGATACGCAGAAGTGCAACACTTCTACTTTAAGCCGGTTTTCTGTGAGGTCGTGGTACTTACTCGGACGGATCTGCCCATTCGTGCAATAGCGAACACTGTTACGTGGCCCTACCACCGTTTTGAATAGATAGTTTTATGGGATAGATTAATTTTTAATGGAATAATTTACAATGTCTAAATGTTTTAATGTGAATAATTGATTATGTTTTAGATATTTATTAAAATAATTTTATATCGAATTGACAATTGTATCAACTACTATTGTAATTGTATTGAATTTTACGGTGGTAGGGCCACGCAACAGCCTCGGTTGTTGCACGAATGGGCGGGCCCGTCCGGGTAAGTACCACGACCTCACAAAAGACCAGCGTAAAGTGGAAGTATGACAAATACTTTCGCGTTTCGTCTGGTGAGTGAGATGGCCGGAGCCCAATTTTCAAAAGTCAACGCATCTGTAACCCTTGAGTGTGGCAGATGTTCATAGGCGGCGGTATTCACTTAACATCAGGTGTTTTCGCATAAAAAAAATTGCATGCTGAAGTCAGCTGAATATGTTGCACCAAATTATTATAATTAAAATCACAATGTACTTCCATATTCTGGTAATAAAGACATTCATTCATTCATTCATTCATTGGTTACTTTTTAATATAGTATTCCTGTTCAGTAGGTTCGTTAAAGACACTAGCTTAATTTGAGCCACTGTGAATCGGGATCGACCTATTTCCCAGCAAGTGAAGCTGCGGACAGAAAGTCGAAAATAAACCGTCATTGTGCTTATTTTGCAAGTATATTGAGGTAGACAAAATATGATAGATAACAATATATGCGTACTTTAAATGTTATATAGACTGTGGCAAGTTAACCTGTTTTATCATAAATTTGGAGGTATCATGGTTTATCAGATAAGATCATCGCATTTCTTGGCGGTCATAATCAAAGCAGCCGCTGGAATATGTGACATGTTTTTCGAGTGTGTAACTGATTATTATTTAAAAATTCTCGCTTAACCGGAAATTTTCTCTCGTTTTTTGTGAATTTGTTTTAATGTCTGACCGTGTAATTATGCTTGCAGTTGAAAGGTGCAATTAATGGTCTTTTAAGCCTTCTAAAAGTTAGAGTTACTTTGAGATGAACAGATATGCAAAATACAACAGATGTCCAAATCTAGCTAATACATCTGCGAAAGCTCTATTCATAGTGAACTTAAACAATTTCTACATCTAGCTTTTTATCTTTTTCTTATATTTAATATGTAAATTACATGAATTATTGAACGGAAAATGTAACAAACAAAATCATAAAAAGCACCCCAAGCACCCGACGCTTTTCTGCAAATATTTTTTTTTTAGGTTTATCACATTATTCACAATTTAATTTTATTGAAAATTATTTGCTACTTTTCTATTTTTAGTTCTGTACTCTACAAAAGCGTGTTTTTAAATTATTATTTATTTTCTATTTTTTATTTCTGCTTATTATAAAAGTGTGTTTTTTTTATTTTTTAAACATTATTGAAATGTGTACTTGGCACAAGGACACTAAGGAGTATCGGATTTGGAAAATAGGTAATCCTGAATGTCCTGATCAGGATAATGGGAAAAACTTTTTAAATTATTGCATTATCATGGGACTTTGATGAGTGTGTAAAGTTTGATTCAAATCTCATTGTCAAAGTGGGGAAAAATCTTGTTTAAAGATTTCGTTACATACATACATACATACAGGTGAAACTAATATAATATGTGTGTTAAAAAAAGGCAAGGTTTTGGTTGAATTCAATGACTAAAAACGTTATTTAGTAAAACAATAAGTAACTAAAACAAAATTCTTACACTATCCTTAAGAATACACACATTTATGCCTGTACTTAGGTCACAGACTCTGCTCTCACGGTCTTAAAGGTATGCGTTGCTAATCCACTTTTCGTGATATGTTGTTATTCAGTGAAATGGTGGTGAAACGCTAAATTCAAACTGTTATACGTGTACACTTTCACTTTAGCAACTTTGTCGATTTACAGACACGGAATACAACAAAATGCCGCCGATGTTCCGGCTGGATCCATATGAGCCGTGTGTGCATGAGCCCGGGGGCGTGTATTGCACCTTTGAGCTGAAACTGGTGGCCGATGGACCCAACGAGCTGATGGACATGATTCAGGTAAGTGCTGATGACAACAGCAGTTGCGAGATCATTCGCCAACCGTGCTAATTCAGCCGTGATAGCTGATTGTCCGGGCGCTCGCTGTTATACAACTAGACAACATAACAACAACTCAAGCAACCCGAGTTCGATCCCCGGTGCCGGCACCAACGAAATTGATGATTTTAAGTGCTGACTTATCACATGCTCAGCGGTGAAGAAAAACGTCGTGAGGAAACTTGCATATTTTCTAAATAATAACAGAAAAAGTATTTGGGGCCGCGGAGTAGATTTTACCCTAATACCATCTGTACAGAGGAAACCCCTGCTCCGTAGGTTGACATATACTGCGAGTATATACATCTAATAATATTTCTTATGGCCGGTTTCAATATTCAATACAGATATTATGCGGATAAAAAGCTATTATTAATATTTGAACATATTTATCTTAAAACAAATCATTAAAGTTGTAGAATTAGCGCCATATACATTCAAAATTTATAAATAATATTAGAAAATTTCAATTGAATTTAATTAAAACATGGATAAATTTTACTTACTCCATGCGCTTTATCAAAGTTTGTGTATCTCTAGTACTGTTTAGCGTCCAATTTGACACAACTAACATATTCAAGACACATTAACGTCGCAAACGTCGTACCTAAATCGTTAATGACCGATCCCATTAATGTAAATTTGATGTTAATTTAAAATCGATCATACGGAAATATTTAAAGGTTGTTTAAAAATGTTTCAAATATATATTCTAATAAATTTTATATAAATAAAGTTTTTGTTTGCATTTTGGACCTCATAGAAAATCAGCGTAAAGTGGAAGTATAATACTTTCGCGTTTCGTCGGGTGAGTGAGGTGGCCGGAGCCCAATTTTCAAAAGGTTGTCAACGCATCTGGAACCCTCGGGTGTAGCAGATGACCATGGGCGGCGGTATTCACTTAGCATCAGGTGAACCGTCTGCTCGCTTGGCAACTTTTCACAAAAAAAAATTATATAAATAATTGTTTTGTTTGCTTTTTGTTATCTGAGAAGGTGGCAAGCGAACTGGTGGTTCAAATGTTAAGTGATACCCGCCATCCATGAGCATTTGTAACACTCGTAGGGTTGCAGATGCTTAACCACCTTTTGATAAAGTGGGCCGGTTACCTCACTCACCAGACGAAACATAAAAGTATAACACTTCCACCTCACGCCGGTCTTCTATGAGGTCGTGGTACTTCCCGGACGGACCCATTCTCGCAACTGTTGCGTGGCTCTGCCACATAAAATATCTTGAACACGTGTATCATTTAAACACTAAAGTCGTCAAGTCTTCCGTAATGGAATAGGCCAAAATGTGACAAAGTGACTATTGTCCCTAAGATAAAAGCTAATTTCGTTTCTAGACACTACTGGGTTCCAAATCCTAGAATGTAGTTTCGATAGCCACCGCTTGGCCCACCATACATTTGACGTAATGCGTATTTAAAATGACTGAGCTTGTCCTGATTGGTCCGGTTAAAAGGCCATGTGATAACTTCCTTAAGCCCACGAAGCTTAGTTTAAATATTTGCATTAAAAATTGATTATCGCCAATTTAAACATCATTTATTATATAATTTATTTATTATTCATTCATCTCATTCATAATAAACATGTTCTTTTCGTTCATTCGCTCTCTTCCGCCAAGGCCCCGACCGTTCAATATGTGCTCTGTATAAATATTCTAATAAAAGTGGTTAAAGTGCATTAAACGTGCTAAATTGTCAATCAGTGACTTTGGATAATCCATCCCGAATCCCGAATCCCGAATAAAGCAATTAGTTCAATCATTAACAAAATGCCTATAGTCATAAATCATCTAATATTAGCAGCTGTTATAATTAACTTGAATAAGTTGAATTCATTACTTACACACCTTTATCTGAGATTGTCTTAAAATAACCTTATTTAAGTTGCTCTTTCAGAAACTCTGTAACTTTTGAATCCATTATATTCACCTATTTGAATATTTCTTATACCATATTATTGCATTTCCATTACTTTATATGAACATAAGCTATATATTATGTGCACCTAAATGTAACCATTACATTAAATCTGGATTAGTCGTGACGGAATAACCTATACCTTCTTATTAATTATGGTCGAGATATAACTTTTCTGATATTCTAAAATGTGAATCAAAAACGTTGAATAATTATTGTTACAACGAATTAACTTGAAATTACCATCTTACTAAACTGTTGAAACGTTTCATAATATTTTGATTAATTATATATATTATTATTATTTTCATATCTTTACAGCATATATAGTTAATATAAAGTAAAAGTAAAGTAACATACATGTCCCACTGCAGAGGGCACTTAAAGTGAAAAACTTCATTGGTGCCGGCACCGGGGATCGAACTCAGGTTGCTCGAGTATATTGAATTAAAGGCGAGCGCCCGGACACTGAGCTATGACGGCTCATATAAGTAATTAGTATAATTAATTAGTAGTTAATATACATAATAATATTTTATAGAAATATTCGGCGCACAGAGAAATGCATTACAATCACTCACGACTACATCGTGGTATATGCGTCACGAAAACGTGTAAAGACCACCTCAGTCAAAATACATCAGCGGACCTAAAACTCGTCCTAGAGGGATGCCTCAACGATACTCTTTGGAAACAATACAAGCTGAAAAACAAAGTATCAAGCGACGTTCTCTGCAACGATTTGGACCACAAGCTTGATATCGACTATGGTGACATAGCGGTTGCAATTATTTGCCTCTCAATAATCTTGCTCAACATTGTCGGAAGCTGTTACGATTTCTTCTTAGTTCCTAACAAGGAGATTAAAGGTAATTTTTTTTTCTAATATAGCCAATAAAATATTTCAGTTTAAAAGAAAATGTTGATGGTTAGTCGACCATTAAAATGTAAATCACATAACTCGTTTCATTAGAAAATAAAATATTGAAATTATTGAAAATTAAATGAAAAATCGAGTTATTGGCTTCACGCTTTACCATCAAGTAACTTGGGCACATTACTTGACGATGAAAGCTTACGCATTGCTGTAGGAATCCGTCTGGGGGCACCGATTTGTCAACCACACCAATGCCCTTGTGGTGTCAGTGTAGACAAATTTTATCTCCACGGGCTTTCTTGTCAAAAAAGTGCTGGCCGTTTTTCCTGCCACGTTTCCCTGAATGACATCATCCGTAGGGCTCTTGTTTCCATCAATGTTCCATCTATTTTAGAGCCCTGTGGCATTTTTCGCGACGATGGTAAGAGACCCGACGGTTTAACACTGATCCCTTGGGAGACCGCCACTTGTGTAGACACTTTGGCTGCCTCTCATCTAAGGGGTACTTCGGTCAGGGCCAGGGCGGCATCGGAGGCAGCTGAAGTAAGTAAATGGCGCAAATATGAGTCTTTATGTTTAGATTATGTATTTGTGCCATTTGCTTGAAACTTTAGGTCCGTGGGGTCGCCGAACATCAACATTTTTTAAAAGTTTATGTCCTAGGCTTAACGCCGCGGCTGGTGACAAGAGAGCTGGTTCTTTTCTCGCTCAAAGGTTAAGCATAACTATTCAGCGAGGAAATGCAGCTAGCGTTCTTGGCACCATGCCGCGTGGATTAGGTTTATTAGATAATATGTAATTTTAGATAGATTTAATCTTGTAAATATTAGATCAATAAAGATTGTAAATTATATTGCAAAAAAAAATATTGAAACAAAGGCATATTGGTGTCGATTAATGTTTATCATTTTTAATACATTTTACATGCTTTCATATTTCGCAGGCAACAGGTTTCTATTATGTTTCTCAATCAAATACAATTGGAAGAAATTAGTAGCTCCACCCGCGGATGGCCCCGAGGCTCGCCTGAAGCGTTTTAAAGGATTCAACGGCCTACGGTAAGTAATCTATAAAAACGGGGATTTTATGATAAGAGGTTTTATGCCGGGTTCCTATATTCAACAAACGGCCGTTAGTTACATAGCTTCGTAACTTTCATAAAGACTTGTAGATTAAAGGAACGCTAGTAACTTACTTTCCGTAGGTAATGCAACAACTCGTAAGGAAAACGTATCCTTTTGTTAATATAGGAACCGGGCGTACACGCCTTTTATCTACAAGTCGTTATGAAAGTTACGAAGCTACGTAACTAACGGCCGTTCATTGAATATAGGAATCGGGCTTTAGTCATGGACAACGTAACCATTCGCGTGTCTCTTAAAAGACGAAGAACATATAAAAACAATATCTGAATCTGGATCATGAGGATCTTAATATATGTGATCGTATGTGAACCAAAGCTCGTTCGATTCAATCCAACATATATATTAATTGAACGAAAAGATATTGAACTGCGGCGATTTCATTGGTGATTTCGAAATACTCGTAGACGGTCCGTCGGTTTTTACGATAAACCATGCATAATATATATAATTTTACGATACGAAATTTCAAAGAATGATCATAGTATTATACATATGCGATGCATGATGAAGTGATACAGAATTACGTTCGGGTCCTATAATATAAGGGATCCGTGCATTTAATTGAGATAAAAAGACACCTATACGACTATCCAAACAATATACTGTCAATACAAGAGCTAATATCGACAACTTCCATAGATGGGGATTATTAATAGCCATGAATTTTTGTATATAATGAACAAGGAGTTCTTTAACAATAAAGACACATAGAAAGTATAAACTCCTGAATGTGAGGCACAGAATTCAATAAAATCTTTTAAAACTGACTTACTGCGTAAGAAGTATTCGTATAAATATAATATCTACCTTGACATTTAGAAAGTGTTTTCCGCATCTGTTTGCCTACAAGGAAGATATGATCCCTTTTATTTTATTTCTTATGTAATATAATTATCATGCATCGCATATCCTTCACTGTTTTACTATTAATAATATGTTATTAAATGCAAAAAGAACTAGATGTATTCTTTTAACCTTCCCAGTATAAGAAAGCAAAGTTTTAGTTTAATATTAAATAGAGTACCCATTAATCCAGTTGAGCCTGCTCTATATCTCGGAATTACAGTAGATTCAAAGCTCCAGTGGAATCCCCATATAACAGACATCGACAGTTCCATACTTGTTTACTTCAATTATTTTTTGTGGGATAATGCATCTGATATAAATTCTATATTTATTCTTCAAAAGAGCTGTCCGAGAAATCTACAATATCGGAGCCCGGAATTCACTTAGACATCTTTTTAAAGAGGTTAACATACTCACTGTTCTCTCTGATTCTCAATAGGGTAATATATATTAGGGTAAATATATACTACGGTAAAAGTAATAAACTGATTATTAATTTACAACAACCTATGACTATGCATAATAACCAAAGAGTTTGGTATATATGATAAATTTATCAAATTAAACGGTATGTTTGCGTAACTCCCAACATATTATGTAGATAAGATAATTATCATGCCTGATTGAGCCAGTAGAATACAATGCAGTGTCTCTTTGGGTTGTTACTACTCTTTTGTTGTACAAAGGCGTTAGAAACGGCGGATTACAATATTTTACATTTTAAAATATAAAGTCAATAAATGGTTATTTGAAGGCACATACATTTATTATTTAGCCTGAACGATTTTGAATAAGGGTGTGGGAGGTGTTATGAAATGAAAAATATACAATTTACACGAACTTGTATCAAATAGTTGGAAAACAAAATACAAATTCCGGTTACAAAACAAACGAAACCCATTTTGTGGAGAGATTTCCGAAAAGATGCGATTTAATGACATTAGGCAATGTAGTAGCACAGTATAGGGTACTTTTTCAGTACCCTATACTGTGTAAAGGCCACGCAATGGGCATGTCCGTCCGGGTAAGTACTATGACGACACAGAAGACCGGAGTGGAAGTGTTGTGTTTCGTCTGGTGAGTCCAGTCAGATTCCCGATCCGATTTTCCCGAACGAGCCGAGGTCCGGCCCTCTCGGGCACCCACGAATCGGAATGCTAAATGCATATTGAGTGACAGCCCAAGTCGGGGACCCTTGAGCCTGGTCACTCCATGGAGCGTCTACCAAAGCACCCTAAGAGCTTGGCGGCCTCCCAAACCGGTAATAATAATAGCGTGACGGCCCGAGCCGAGGCCCTCGAGCTTAGTCACTATAACGTTATAATAATACGCCGAGGCTCAGGCTAGGCGCCCCGAGTGCCCGGCCACCTCAAGTCCGTCGGATCTGTGAAGGCCCCTAAGGCCAAAAGTGGCTCATCCAGCCAAAAAACAAGTCTGGTAAGTGAGCCAGTCGGGCCTAACTTATTAAAAGGTGACAACGCATCTACAACCCTGCAGGTGATGCAAATGTCAATGGACGGTGGTTATCACTTAACATCAGATAAACCGGAGGCTCGCTTACCACCTTCTCACATATAAAAAGAAATAAAACAAAACATGTACAAAGGGGGAATTAGTGTCAACAGTATATATATCAGTCAATATTTTCTTGACATGTATAATATTAACTAATTTAGAATTAAACCGCTTAAGCAAGCCATTACTCAATTACGCGTAAAATTCAGTACGCGAGCATAGCGAAAAAACGTCTAGATGCAACAAAATAAGAACTATCACTATTTCTACGGTGGTAGGGCCACGCAGCAGCCTCGGCTGTTGCACGGACTTTTATTTCTTTCACCATTACACGGGAATTATGCAAATAAACTGGCTCATTTGATAAATTTTTAAAATTTGATTGATTGATTGAATGATCGAATTCTTTATTGCATACACCATTGTAAAAAATACATTAAAAATAAATTATGTTAGGGTTTTACAATGGGCGGCCTTATTACTTAAAGCTTTTCCAGAGAATTTTATCATGTTTACCAAATTTTGTGATGATTATGAATAATTACCGGTTATTATGTATAATCACCGGGTTAAACACATTAACCGTAACATATATGTTATAAATCCCAGTTCGGGAGTCGTAATAAAATTAAAAAAACTTGTGTATATTACTTTTACTTTTTTAGCCTAAAGACATTAAATGCAATTTATAACGGTTTATTTAAATAACTCCATTCATTCCATTATTGTTAAATTTCAAAAATTTGTTATTGGTTACCAAGCATCATGTCGCTTTTTGAGGGTCGGTGTGTGCGCGCAACGTAAACATTTTACTCTCATAATTTTACCAAACGCGCCCAAATAATTATTACGTCCAAAATAATTACTTTGATCACAATTAAATGGAATTGATTTCTATTGACAAATCTCTTTTCAGAACTATATCTATAATAATTGTTATAATGGAGCATTCATTGTTGCCGTTGGTAGTGAGCTCCCAAAATCCTCACAACTTTGAAAGGGTGAGTATTATTTATTATGAAATGCTGTTATTATTTCTGTTTTTGTCCGTAAAAGCCTATAAGTAAACATTTAATTTCTTGTATTTACGCGACTACACATTGAAACTATATTTATGGATCTATCGCATTTATTTCTAATTTTACTCCTCGACTTTTCGAACCATTTTTCGTTTGAATGTCATTTTAAGCCTGGGCCCACCATTAAATTTTAAATTATTAATTTTGTATTGATCTACTCAAAAGGTTTAGAACGTTTTGCGGTCATGGTACATTTGACCCAAGATTTAATTATAGAACTGATAGGACACCAAGCCGATTTTAGCATCGAACCCTCTTCTTTATTGATATAAGGGTGATTTAATTTTAGTTTCAATAGCCTTGCGAATCATCCTTGGGAGGAATCGGTGTTCTTTTGCAAGCCTTTGTAGTCTATCAAACTTGATGAACTTGGTGTCCTCACTTACAGCAGTCTTGTTTAATCTATCATATTTTAAATCAGCTATTTGTTCCTTCATGCTTTCATTGCTCGTTTATAATAAATTATAGCATAAAGAAAATATAATAAATCCGTAAATCTACTTTCACTTATCAAAAAGATTTAATTACTTTTTTTGTCACCTTGTTTTTTTAAACAATGACGAGAACCAAATCACAACCGATTGTTGACCATAAAAGTAAGGTTATAAATTTTTTGTGCACAAAAATATGTGAATAACTTTCAGTTTGCATTTTATGGTAATCGGAACATTATTATATTTTAATTAATAATTTACATTTCTTGCTTGTCTGAACATCAACACTATTTTTGTTTCATTGCCCTCTAATAAAAGGAATTCTTGACTTTAACCACTGAACGGCGTGACCAGTTGTTTATACTTTCCCCAGAAATATTACAACATGATTTGTCATATATTTATCGACGGCGCGCTGGTCGTCCAAACGTTCTTCTTGATGTCTGGATGCTTGTTGTCTTACAACCTGGAACTGATCGCCGAGAAGCGGAAGATCACATGGGTAATGATACCAAAGGGGATCATCATCAGGTGGCTAAGGTTTGTTATTATCTACTTTATTGATTACGAGTATAAGAGTATAAAACCGTGATATCTTACTGTCCGGGCGCTCGTCTTAATTCAAATATACTCGAGCAACCTGAGTTCGATCCGCGTTGTAGGCACCTTGAAATTGTTAATTTTAAGTGAAGATTTATCACGTACTCAGCGGTGAAGGAAAACATCGTGAGAAAACCTGCATATTTCGAAATAATAACAAAAAAACCATATTTCGAAGATAAATCATGTCCGCCTTTATAAAAGTATTCATATTTATAAAAGTATTCATATTTATAAATATCACTTTGATGTGCTCAATTTTTTTTTCCTCTTTCACTGAATACGACTCTCGTTTCCAACTCAGTACAAGTTCGAGCACGGGTGTAATTAGATAATCTAAATTCTAGTCGCGCGCCAATGACATGGTTATTTGTAATTTTAATTGCTGATTTACACGTGTTCAGTGATAAAGGATGACCGCAAGAAAAACCCGCATAGCAAAAAAAATGTTTAATTAAAAATACTTAAGTTACTATAGGTAATAGCTTCTTTGCCCCGAATTCGTATTAATATAATGATAAGAAAAGGTTCTGTTAAATTTCCCTAATCACATGTTATTAAATACTTAACACAGAATTGTAAAGTCTTATCGTAAAGTGACAATCAACTTGCTGTAGGTTGTATAGTGATGTGCTAAAATTTCTATGCATTTTATATTTATGTCTGCTTGTTCTTCTCCGACCTAGTTAGTGTGTGTAGTGGAAAGCGTAGCGTTCATCATTTTTGGTACTTAATTAGTAGTTTGTTACAGATTAACTCCCGTTTACGCCGTGGTATTGGCGTTCACAACAACGTGGCTAAGATTTACGGGTTCTGGACCGCTTTGGCAGGTAAACTTGAGATTTTCAGTCTTACTACTATGTTACTAGAAATTGTTTTACCTTTTCTTATGGTTTAGTATTCAGCAACAATACTGTATCAGCGAAATAGATTTCGTTAAGATCAGATTCCGATTAGGAAGTCGGACATGTATATTCTAAATAATTCTATCTTCTATCTTTATTAGCCAAGTTGAATACTTGGCTAATAAAAAAGACAATCATGAGCACTTACAGACGCAGCAATGATACTTATGAATGTTAATTAAAATTGAGATTTAGAAACTCCGTAATCTGTAATTTTAACGCTGTATGTATTACGATTTATTCCATCTATTTAATTCAATACAATTAAAAAAATATCTTTATTCACATAGAGCGCGGTCTTTTTAAACGTCGAAATTTTACAAAGAAATTAATACTTTCGTAAGTTACCAATCATCTGGGATCGAACCGGGGTCTTCTGTTATCGGGACCACCCCATTTCCAGATGAAGTTCAGATTATATACACATTATATACAAGAATTTTGTATATAAAAGAATTGGTATTTAAAGGCATTAATACAGATAAAGTAAAAAGGGGCCATATTTAACTTAACAGTTTTATTCTATATTATACTAAGGATTTATTAAACAAAATAGATGTAGTAGGACCAATCAGCAACTTCTGCTTTTGCACGAATAGAAAGGCTCGTCCAGGACAGTACCACGGCATCACAGAAGACTAGCGTGAAATGGAATTATTATACTTACGGAGGTAACCAGGGCTCACTTTGTTTGGCAATGACAATGTCTCAAGTACTAATCACTTAGTATTACCAGTATTACCTGGTCAACCACCAGCTCACTTGCAAACTGCAAAGATAAAAAGATACAGTAGTATTAAAATATAGTTGTCTACGATTCCAGAGCACAGTTGGCGTGGAGGTAAAGGACTGCCGAAGGGACGGTTGGCTGAACCTTCTCTACCTAAACAATTACATTGACGAATCACAGTGTATGCCTCAGACGTGGTGAGTGACGACGTAATATTTGGACTTGTATCAATATCTCTCAGATCTCTTCTTATTCGCTCCCTCACTGCTGAGGAACGTGACTCATGTTTACTTGGTCGAGCTGTCTCCGTCTGTATCAATATAAAAATCATTAAATAAACACAGCTAAAAAACATCAGCCTACACTTTTTACTCGCGCCCCAAGTTAAAATGGCCAATAAATAGTAATTTCTCAAACACGACAAAATTAGGTAATAGGCATGATCTGAACTTCAAAATTCATTCATCAGAATTTTAAAAACTATTACGAACAGAATTGATATTCAGGCTATAAGTCTAAGCTTCTGACCGGATGATCTCTCTATCTTCATGGACTTCTTTATCTTTTGTCACACTAGTTACTTGCACTAAAATACAATTAGTTATATATTTCTATTAACTGTGGTCTAGTAACTATGCTAGGGCCACGCAGCAGCCTCGGCTGTTGCACGAATGGGCAGGCTCGCCCGGGCTAAACAACACGACCTCACAGAAGACCGGAGTAAATCGAAAGTACTTTCGAGTTTTGTTTCGAGAGTAAGGTAGCCGGAGCCCAATTTTCAAAAGTTGTCAACGCATCTGCAACCCTCGGGTGTAGGAGATGTCCATGTGCCGCGGTATTGACTTCACATCAGGTGAACCGCCTAACCGCTTGGCACCATTTCACATAAAAAATATCACTCTGATTTTTAAATACCCATTCAATTTTTTTTTGACAAAGATAATCGCGCGGTGAGAGCATCAAGCGTTTAGAGACTCTGGACGCATTACTTAGAAGATGCAGTTACAAATCCAGGCAGTAGCTTAAAACTTTGCCATTATTTTTTAACACATTATAAGCTTCATATTGGACAAAGAGACAGACTCTATATAAATAAATAATTCGTATTGTTTTTAATTTATCTTAACTATAAAAATAATTAAGATAGATTAAAAACAATACGAGACACGGTTATAAAGCCTCGAGGAATGCCATATGTCACATTTTTAAGAGCACTTGTTAATTCTCAATAGGCCCGTTTACAAATACGATGTAAACACTTTTATAGCTGTGTCTGGTATATTGCTGTTTTTGTGAATAAACTTTTGATGCCTTACAGAGTCGAATGCTAAATTTAAATTCATAAAAGAACCCGAAGCGCAGATCTCTCGATCAATATTAATTTGATTTTTTTGTAACTAAATCTCTTGAAGAGCTATTAAGTATACTGAATATTAAGCAAAAAGTTGTTGGTAAGAAATAATAATTATTCGCAAATATAGAATTCTTCTACAAATTTTTGAAATTAAAAATAAATTGATACCGGTCGATAATTACCGGGATCCGTTATGCGTTAGGATTTTAAATCGGGTCTATATTATTGCAATTTCATGCTTGTCCCCGAATATTCCCCGTGTCATACTTTTATTAATATAGTCCGATAAATGCTATACAGTGATATTTTATCCACTTAAAATTGCTTACGCAATAATCGTAATATCTAACGTAAATAATCCAGTAGTCCCGAATTCTATATTCATTTTGTTGCGAGACTTGCTACATTTCCTTAAAAATATCCACCAAAATATTCATCTGTACAGATGAATATTTTTTATAGATATAGATAAAATATTTTTTCATCTGCATCTATACAGATGAAGCCGAAAAAATATTGTTATAATTAATTTAATGCCACAGTAATTCTAAGGAAATGTAGCAAGTCTTGCAACAAAATGAATATAGAATTCGGGACTAGGAATTTGAGACTACTGGATTATTTACGTTAGATATTACGATTATTGCATAAGCAATTTTAAGTGGATAAAATATCACAGTATACACTGTATTTCTTTAATATTTTCTTGAAGTCTTCATTATTTAGATACGTTGAAGTTAGTTTGAATAGAATATTTATCTAATACTTCCGTTTAAACAGTCTTAGTGGGTTAAGAAATTTAAATAAATTAAAATTAAAATTAACAATCTATCTGTTTTGTTTTTATTCAACCTTTTTGAATTAAATAATCACACAATTTTCGGTAGTAGGGCCAAGCAGCAGCCTCGGCTGTTGCATGCATGGGCAGGCCCGTCCGGGTAAGTACCACGACCTCACAGAAGACCAGCGTAAAGTGGAAGTATGACAAATACTTTCGCGTTTCGCCTGGTGAGTGAGGTAGCCGGAGCCCAATTTTCAAAAGGTTCTCAACGCATCTGTAACCCTCGGGTGTGGCAGATGTCCATGGTCGGTGGTATTCACTTAACATCACGTGAACCGTCTGTTCGTTTGACAACTTTTCGGATAAAAAAAAATTTAAGAAATCAGTCATCATTACAGTTTAAATAATTATGTTTCAAAATTATGCTCTACAAGTCATCATAACTAAGAGCTTTGTATTTACGATTTTATTTATTGGAAGTAACAAACCATCAACCTCTAAAAATATGCACTAACGGTCAGAGGGTAGCAATTTATGATGTGTATGATAAATATAGTACATGTTTTACTCAATTCACGAGTACAATTATTTTTATTCATTTCTTTTATTATTTAATCCTAAGTTTTCTACATTTAATAAATTCATAATAATTCTTTTTATATCTGTGTATTTGCTAAAGAATGTTTTGTGTATATAATATCATCTATCTTCAATCCAATCCAATCCAATCAGCCTTTTGCAGTCCACTGCTGGACATAGGCCTCCCCAAAAGTACGCCACAGAGTACGATCTTCCGCTTTCCTCATCCAGCCGCTACCAGCGACCTTTCTCAGGTCATATGTATATATATAATATATACATATCTGCAATACAATATGGTCTCATTCATACCTATAATAATGATATATCTTTATAAAAAAGTGCTATCGAATCGTCTGTATGGAATTTACATAACGATGGCCATCGTTAACAGGTACATAGCGTCCGACATGCAGCTCTACGTCTTGGGTCTTATAATATTGGTGCTAGCCACCACCATGACTGCGAGGAAGATAATCCTATCTTTGCTGTTCGTCATTGCGCTTATCATCCCGCCCATCCACACTTACTTTCAGAAATTGGACGCCGGATTAGTAATTTCGCCAGAGTGAGTGTTTTCAACTCTATTTAATTTAAACTATCAAAGTATTTGTAATTGACATGTATTTGAATGTGTTAGAAACGAGAATGGTATGTTTTGTTGAAGAGAAGAGTCCGTAATCACTACTAACAGACGTGAGTGCGTGTGTCATTATTCCGCGTAATAATAGTACGCCGAGGTTCAGGCTAGGCGCCTCGTGCGCCAGGCCACCTCAAGTCCGTCGGAACTGTAAAGGCCCCTAAGGCCAACAGTGGCTCATCCAGCCCAAAAAAAAAATATTCAACTTGTAGTGAATGTAATATATTTATTATTATTGTATTGTATCTAATATTACACGTTCCCTCAACAGAGGATAATAATCTTAATCGATAGCGTTAGTACTAATGTTATTATAACTAAGCAATGCCACTATAACTTTTTCTTTATTTGAATACGTTATTACTTAGGCGTTTTGCTTGTATGAATAAGCAAAACGCCTCAGTTTTTTTTTTTTAGAGCGATCCCAATATCATAAAATCCACACGGCTTTTTAAGGAAATCCTACTTGTTATTTCAGAGCAATTAAAATGGTTAAAGTATTTGCAATGTAATAATAATAATATAAAAACGTTCTAGGAAAAATATGTTTATCAGCCGTAGTTGAAATTGGAAAGTCTCGTTGATTGGGGTCTTGAACCTTTGCTCCTTACTATACAGCGAGGTTTTTTTAAAGGTGTCCAAATTTACACAGGAGGTTCAGACTCGGTGGTATAATCGTTTATTGAAATAAAAACAAACTTTTTTTTTTAAATTAGCATTCTATTTCCCTAAATGTTACTGTTAGTTACGAAAGATCGCGCGTAAAATAAATGAGTTGCGTATAAATCACGAGTGATTTGAAATATTTATAATTTTTATATAACATTTTTTTAAACATAACATTTAATGAAAAAAAATAGACTAGCACTGAGAAAAGCTTCCCTGTATAACTCATAGTTAACGTTAACAATAGACAATGTGTGCGGGACCCTAAAGGCACGGCTCCTTGATTATTTTAGGATTATTAAATTTTAGGGATTTGGTATTCAATATTGAAGGAAAAAGAAATAGGGTCCCAGCTCGACAATTGGTTTAATGCAAAGTGACATTAAGTACAAAAAAAACAATCTACCAGCATGAACGTTGCTATTAAAAATTTAGCAGGCGTTCCGAACGCAATGTACTGATTAAATAAGAATGACTACAGATTTTTGCTGAGTTGCTGTGTTAATTACTATTATAGTTACTGTTTAATGGTTCTGATATTAAGAGTGCCAAAGTCTTGCGGTGTCTCTATCGTCTTAAGTTTCTTACCGAATCAAACCAAAGTAATGCTCGTGCCGGACTAAATTATCATATGAATGCCGATTAACTATGTGACAAGTTCTACTTCGATCTGAATGATGATGACATCAAAAAACTCGGCAAAATTTTGAATTCGATTAGTTTTATTCTTTGTAAGAATGGCCATGCGTCTTCCTGTGGCTTACAACTTCAATATTTTTCTTTATGAGCACAGACCAAACTTAATTCTTTGCCGAATTCGTCGTCCACTGCACCCTACTTATCTCCCCATTTTCAATACTTTTGTACCGTTAACAATGTGAATCCTCTTCAAGCGTTGCTTGTACCATCGGTACTAGATAAGTGATAAACATGAATAAACATACTTTTGTATATAAATAAATATTATAAATATATATAAAAAACCAGACACTGGAAAAACACTATATTTATCACACAATTTTTTTCCAGTAGTGGAGATCGAACCCACACCCTTTGGCACTAAAGGCTGGTGCAATGCCCACTACGCCAATTCATTCAAGGCCAATGTTTTTATAATTTTGTATTTTATTACATGTTAGTATCCAGTTGTCCATTATAGTAGTTTACGATAATTAATGTTTATTACTAACGTAGCTTCTAAATTGTGTGTATTTGTTTTTTTTTTTTTTAATTTATTTATAAGAACATAAATATATTTTATATAATCTCTTCTCACAACTTAGGATATATCGAAGATATTGTATATATCTATATTGAAGCCTGAGATCTGACTTGGCTAGTTAGAATATACGAATTTTATTATAGCCTTCCCAAATTCGAAAGCTCTTATGTTATTACTTAATTATAATTAGGGTCTATAGGTCAATCCGTGATAAAAATGAAGAGTTTTGTAAGTTAATATCTAAATAACTGTTTATAAAATTTGGAACACAAAGATATCTCGCATATACCTATAGAAGGCCAAATTTGACATGTTCATGTGAAATAGTTTTTGAGTAAAGAGGTGATCAAAAGTGGTTCCTAATAGTTCGAGTAATATAACACACTGTACCGCTCGCCATTCTGTAAGCTTGAACTTTGCTTTACATGCTACCGCATGCTTTATATGCTTTTGTGTTTCATCTAGGGATTCAACTTTTTTAAAGGTTAGCAATGCATTCGCAATTTCTCGGTGGATTAAATGAGTGAATGTAATCACTTAACTTTAGGTGAAGCAACCATTTGCTTGCCTTCTAATTACATTAAAAAATATTTCTTCTCAACTTTATTTTTAGATTGGTCCGTGATTATTTCGTTAAGGACCCGACGTTCAACCATACATACAAAAGGGGCCATACGAATCTGGCTTGTTACATAATGGGTCTCAGTTTGGGAATATTGATCTATTATCTACAAAAAAGGGACTTTAAAGTTGAAGGTTTTCAGGTAAGTGCGTGTTTAATATCTTTTTTAATCTCAGAACATATTATTTAACTTGCGAATACTACACAGATAATTAAACACCTTGCAGATTTTATTAACTTTTTAAATTTCATTATCATTCAACATCATTCATTCATTGTGTTGAATTAACTTTACGTAAAGGTTTAAATGTACTTTGGACGTCTTGAGGCTGATGATGATGATGTAAAGCTTTAATTTATTTAGTGTTACTTTTAGTACTTTGTGGATTTAAATGTATTTTCAATTGCGAAAATTGTTCTAACATATTTACATTTCTTTCCAGAAATGCAAATTCCTCTACTGGGCAACATTACCAGCAATGCTCATTGTCTTGCCGTCAGGGGCATTCTTTTACTTCTACGAAGAAGTCCCCATCTATTACAAAGCCATATATTCGGGTTTGGCAAAGCCCGTTTTCGGTTCCATTATAATGGTGATCGTCCTTGGGATGGCGTTTAAATATGAAAGTAAGTAAATTCACATTGAACTGTATGAAGCCTTTATTTTATATGAATATAAAAAAAAAGTAAAGTAACAGCCTATACATGTCCCACTGCTGGGCAAAGGCCTCCTCTATACAGAGGGTATCAGGGCATAGTCCACCACACGGCCCCACTGCGGATTGGCGGACTTCACATATTTTCGAAATATAATTTTTTTTTTGTTATTATTTCGAAAATATGCAGGTTTCCTCACGATGTTTTCCTTCACCGCGGAGCACGTGATAAGTCAGCACTTAAAGTTAAAAACTTCATCGGTGCCGGCACTGGGGATCGAACTCAGGTTGCTCGAGTATATTGAATTAAAGGCGAGCGCCCGGACACTGAGCTATCACGGCTCCACGGCTCCATGAATATAAATTTGTGGTTAATAAAAGAGCTACATCCTACATATTTCATTAAATTGAACTTTCAACTATGCAGATTTAAAGATAATGTAATTTCTCATTCTAAGCTAGGTTGAGGATAATGGAAATAAGTCAAAGGTTAATTTAAATTTTCGATCACCGGTTAGAATCCTAATAACATTTACCACTGATTTTTCTATATTCTATACAACCCTTATATAGGCTGAGAACACCTGGGATTTGATGTGCTCGATAAAAAGTGGATAGTTACATCTCTTTCAAGTCAAGTTCAAAGGTGTAATAACTCTTATCGAAGAACTCTAATCTTAACATTAGAAATAAGGACAAACTTACTACACCAAAATTTCGTCTACAAAAAGGGGCATTCATGGGGCAAGGTGTGCGCCTGTATAATAAAATCCCACAGTCGATAAGTCTGCCGGTTGATCAATATAAATATAGCTCACGAAGCCTAGAATAAAACTTTTAGTCCTGTATGTTATATTGTATACTGTCATTTTTGGAAAAGAGCAACTATAGAGTTTCTTGCCGGTCTCTTCTCAACAGAAACTGCTAACGAACAGATATATATATATATATATATATATATATATATATATATATATATATATTCGTATCGTTAGCAGTTTCTGTTGACGATTCATAAGAACGCGCAAGCGTCAAGAAACATAGCAGATATGGAAATTGTGTCCCAAAACGTTAGTTTTGATGATGGCGTCTCCCCCAGATACCTACAGGGGCATATTAGAGTGGAAAGGCTGGTCTTCACCGGCGAGGGTGTCATACTGCGCTTATATCCTGCACGTGCTCTTCGTGCGCACATTAACTGGATCCCGAACGACGTTAATGCACGTATCGATAGCCCACACAGTAAGTAATTTTTTTTTTTCTCTTCTAGTAAATAATGATATTAGTAGTATTTTCGTCCGTGTAGTCAACTTTAGGCTCCATTTGAAAAGTAGCGCTGCGGCACAATAGAACTGCAGCATTTTGTTGAAATGGAGTTCCAATTTCATGTCACAGTACTTATATTTCTGTTTATGTTTTAATATGTATTATTTAAGTGATGATAAAGAGATTTTCTCATCATAGTCGTTCAAACTTATTTTTAACATTTTGCTGACCCGATTGGCGTAGTGGGTAATGAACCTGCCATTTTCACCAGAGCCTGTGCGTTCGATCCCCATTATTGGAAAAATACTGTGTGATAAACATAGTGTTTTTCCAATGTATGGTATATACGTATAATATGTTATTTATTTGCAAAAATAAAAGTGTGCTTAAGTATGTTTATCAGTCATCCAGTAGCAATAGCAAAAGCGTTGCTTAGTTTGGGTCTAGAAAATTTTGTGTCAAAATTTGTGCTAAAATATTATTTATTCATAAAGGTATAAACAACATGCTACTTTGTCATCAAATATACCTACCCTCTTAGGCAGGCTGCACCAAATGTAGGAATTCGTGAAAACATTGGAAATCCTTTTCTAATTCAACAGTACACCTGATTTAGAACTACCCGCTGAAATCTCATTTTTTTATCTCAAATATTTTCCCCTTAGCTCCATACAGTAATAGTTATTAACATTTAATAGTAAACTTGTCATGAATCATGTAACGTAAAAAAGCATTCCACGTTAGTTATTTTTATTTATCTCAATTTCTGCACCATAATGGAGAACATAATAAGTATTGTATGATTAGATGTCAAGTCCATATATAATACCTCATTTCATATTTCATCTTGTATCTTGTATTAACTGATGTTTGTGCTTTCAGTCCCGAGACTATTAAAGCTTCATCTGACGCAGGACCGGTGTGCTAGCCAGAACCCACGGGTTGGGGCCCTCTGCTGTGGGTAGGGCCACGCATGTGCTCATGCCTGCGTTTAAGTGTGGTATGTCATCTAAGGGCCATCGAGGTCGCGGTTCATACCGAAACCCCGATGGCCGTCGACTGTGCAATTAGCTAATCGGTGGCTGGGAGCGGTGAGAACCGCCCCGGAACGCGGGTGTACCTTGTGTACGCGTTGTGTTTGTCTCGCCGTGCTCGGAGGCGAGGGCGAACTAGTATGTTTGTTCTTGCACTAACTGTGGGTGTAGTGTTATCCGGCGGGACCCCCGGCGGTGGGTCCGGCGTATCTAAGTCCCCTCCCTCGACCGGGTCGATGAGGACGTTTCGCGGATTACCACCAGAGGGTTGGGATGATGTTCGGCTCTATCGAAGAACCGTTTGGTCAGGTCTTTAAAATATTCGCGAATCGTCGGGAGTCTGCAATCGCTGTGCAGGTCGACGTTGCGTTGATACCACTGCGCCCCGGTTGCGCGGCAGATGAACTTATTTTGTACTATTTGCAACTTGTACAAGCGAGTAGGGTGCGTGTGGGCAAAGGTCATGCATGCGTAGGACATAATAGGTCGTACGCAGGTCTTATATAATAATAATTTGTGTCTTTCATATTTCATTGATTACCCTGTATTGTAAGGATGTTTTACAAACATAAACATCACGCACACAAACACCCAGGGCCCCCGACGCCGAAGACAATACCTTGGCAACTACGCCACGGAGTCATCAATATAAATAAACGATATCTATTAAATAACCACATATTAAAAAAAACCCATAGCATGTTTTTGAAACGGATGACAATTTGTATAAACTCCAACTAATTATTTTCAGCTCTTAGTCTCTTTTGGTACCGTTGTCATCACGTACGTCGTCGCATACCCATTTTACCTGTTCGTTGAGGCGCCTTCGGTGGGACTCAGCAAGCTCATTTTGCCCGTTGGCAAGGAGGCAGCCAGAGCAGAGGTAGAAGCGAGCAAAAGGGACAGGATGCCTGCGTAAGCCGTGAACAGACTGTGATAGCGTGTAAAGAGTGACCGAGCTAGAGTTTACAACTTACGATATCACGCCTAAAGTTAAGACGAAACGGTGGTGTAGCACAATCAAATTCGTAATGCAAAATACGACGGTGAACCAAGTATTAAAATCTTGATTATTATTTAACTTTAGTAAGTTTTGTACAAGCTTAATTGCTGGTGTAAGTTTCTAAAACGAAACTCCACTTAGAAGTATTTAGACATTTGGTAAATGTATCATGGTATTGATAAAGAAATGAAAATTAAAGCAATCTAAAAATTAGGTACAAAAATATAAATAATACTTCTAATTAAATAATGTACAGGTTTAATGATCATACGAGATAAGGTATATTTTAAAATAAAATTGAATGCTATCTAAATGTATTGATTTTAGATACTTCTAAGTAAATTGCTTAAAAACGTAAATATTTAGCTGCAATGTGACCATATCATAGAAGTAAAATTACAGACTTTTACTACTTTTACTTGCAAATTTTTTGGAACTACAAATTTGATCGAATTTAATTATGATATGATATTTATCAAAAACATTTATACACATACAGGTTTAAAACATATTTTAATATGAAAATTTTAGTTTTAAAATTACGTGTTTTTTTAACGTTAATTCACAAATTACTTGTGCATTTTCTACCGATTGGTAATAACTCGATTTTACCATAAAATATAGTATTGCTAAGTAAAACTTAATAGAATAGCTGTGTGTAAATAAGATAAGCTAGTCGTTGGTATAGGCTTCGGTTGTAATTTATTTGTTTCTAAGGCAGTTATATAAATTGTATGTTAAATTCTTGAAATAAGATAATAAAAATGTCAAAATAAAGAATGAATAAGTTGTTTTACTTGCCGTGTATGTGGTATACAACAAATATATAAATAGTGTATAAGCTGGAGAGTAACTCGGAAATAATATTATGTATAAAAAAAGCAATTATGCATGTTACAGTCTCTCGTTCAATGTTTAACAATGCTGAACAAAGGCCTCCACACCGTCTGCCACACTAGTACGACGAGCAGCATGCATCGACTACCCGCATATTTCCACAGGTAGTCATTCCATCTATTCCTATACTGCGATGGCCAGTACGAGGCTGCTACTCGAGAATCCTTCTTCCCCATCAACTATCGGTCCTGCGCACTATAATGACCGACCCAGTGCCACTTCCACTAACTAATAACTAAACAATCATGAAACTAAGCAAACATACTTTTATTCTATAGCGCTGGAGTTATCGAGGGTTTGCTAGGTTGAGACAATTTAATAGTTGTGGTATTTTAGCTAGATTAGAACATGATAAATTCGAACCCACGTCTTCGGCATTCGCGGCCTGACGCTCTAGCCACTGAGCTAAACGGCTGATTACCACACCGACGAAAATCTTAACGCATTCTTCCACATTGTTTTCTTAGCATTTGAAGCAATGCTTGGCGCCATCTATTGTTATATCCTTTCCAGCATACAAACAACTTCGAATATCGTTTTACAACGATAATTCGAATGAGAGATTTTTTCTACATATTTTAACGTTCAATCTTAAGTGCAAAGATTAGCACTATAAACAATTTAAATTTCATGATAAATTCAACAAAATATTTAGTCGTTAAGTTGGGGCATTTAGAGGAGTATTCCGTAAGACTTAAAGGAGACTGGGATTTTTGGGTAAAAATGTATTGTGTTGATATATAACAAGGTGACTTTTCTAAAGGTGCCCAAATTCACACAGGAGTTTCAGACTCGGTAGTATAATCGTTTATTGAAATAAAAACAAACTTCTCTTGCCATTCCATTCCTTAGAAAACAGAACGTGTTGACGATGCGGTAGTCATTCATAAATGTGTTATTTATGAATGATCGTGCGTAAAATAAAAGAGTTGCCCATAAATCATGCACTTTTTAAGATAAGTTCAAGTGAATGTATTTAATTAATTACGAGTGATTTTAAATATTTATCATTTTCTATATAACGTTATTTATGTCTAGAATTTAATTTAAAAAAAAAAGTGGATACACATAAAAAGCCTCCCTGTATAGTTTAGCCTTATATTTGTCTGTTTCAAAATGTAAATGATCAGTTTCAATTCTCAATCGTGTTAGAAATCAAAAATATTTCTTTAAAGTAATCCTATTCATGTTTGCTAACAAAACTAATAATTTTGTAAAACACATTGATTTTATTAATTAGATATGTAAAAAGGAACCATATTTATGAACGCGACTAACTATTTTTTAATAACGCGACTTTTAAAAAAAAACTTGTTGTATTGTTACTCAAAATCATTACCATTATTCTGTGAAATAGTAATATTACGCAATTATTATTTAGTTTTGCTTCCTAAAATTATATAAGTTAAAGTTATATATTTTGTCAATTTTATCAATCTAATAGTAAACTATTTTGAAACATTGTGAGAATTTAAAAAGTGGTACAACTGAGTGCATCGAAAAGAAGGGTGTGGTCCTGCGCCCGGGCATTCGACTCCCTTGTATCGAGGCGAGAATACGTATACTTTTATTTAATAAAGAAATTGTAGTCCAACTCCAACCTGAGTTTTAATAATCGGGAAGACGAGAAATCTATAAGTTAATTTAATATGAACATAATTTTTATATTACCATAATTCGAAGAATAAAACATACGAATACCCTTGCACTAGATGTTTAATGAACTGTAATAAATAAATTCAATTCAATCAACATGTTTTACCGTCAACGAAATAAAATAATTATCTTCTTAATGAGGAAAAACGTGATAATCGTTTTTCGCTAAGAATCGATTCATTGGTAATTGTATTTCCATCGCTACTTTTTTTAATCTGGTGACAAGGATAAGAACTGACCTTTTTATAATCTATGATTTTAACAATTAAAATTGTCCTCTTATTTATTTTTATCTTCTATGTTGTCCTTATTATGTTGAAATTTGGTCGGAGATTCGAAACAAATCTTTACGATTTGATTCATCGGCGCTTCTAAAATAAGCCAGAAAGCAGTCGCGAATAAAAGAGCGATAACCGTCATTCCCATTACGGGTACCTAAAATGAAAAAAAAAAAACAGGGTTATTGTATTACTGTTCACTTTCTATAATATATAATATATAACTGAGGATCCGTCCGGGTAAGTACCACGGCCTCACAGAAAACCTACACGAAGTGGAATTGGCATACTTCTGCGTTTCGTCTGCGTGCCCATTCGTGCAAAATCCGAAGTTGTTGCGTGGCCCTACCACAATTACGACAGTTATACCAAAGAGAGTAATCATACAGATAGATAGATAGATGCGAAACAACTATCTGTGGGTCACACAAAAAGTTGTCCCATGTGGGAATCGAACCCACGACCCCTGACACCGAAGCCAATACCTTGGCAACTGCGCCATCATTGTGTCTCGTCTGGCGGATAAGGAAAGTCTCTTGATCTTCCGCCTAAGATAATCGCTACAAACTCGGTAACGGTCCTGGAGGACAGTATAATTAAATTTCTTCCCAATCGTTCACGTTTTATCAAGTTGATGAACCGACATGGTTCAATCATGCCTACTACAACGCTCGCAATCGCACAACTCACATCATGAACAAATGGTTTCATCGGCACAGGGGGATTTCTTTGCCTAAAAATCAGCGGACATAAACCCTATCTAAAATAAACCCTATCTAGATACAGGGTTTGATGATGCAGTGATGGAGAAATAATAACGAGGGAATTAATACATTTTTGGTACAGTATTGACGAAGTGTTTACGATGATACCTTGTTGGCTCAATACGAAAGCGACTACAATCTGTGATTTTGAGTGCGTGCGTGCGTGTGTGTTTGTGTGAACTAAATATTAACTTAAGTTCAAGCTACTTGTCGAGGCTGTCACATAACGCATTTGGATATACACTTTTTAGTTCACATTTAATTGGCGCATTGCTCACTTTATGTGTAAGGGGTTTTTCATTAATTCTCTTTACATCGCTGGGCATTTGTTCCTTTTCTTCGTTAAAATATATCGTAATACGTCTTTAATTATTGATTTAAATACTTCTTCATTCTGTTCTATAGAAGGCCGTCCATCTTAGGCAAACTAAAGGCTGTGGCAAAATTTTAGTGTTAAGTATTTATGGATAGCTGTTTGAAATTGAGTCACTTAGACTTTAATTAACTGCTTAACTATTTAAAAGTGTAAATTGGCCATTACTATATTAAGTTGTTGACCTGTCAATCGTCTAGCCCAGTGATTCTCAACCACTGTGCCGCGGCACTTTTGTGTGCCGCCAAATTTCAACAGTGTGTCGCTAAATTTTGCAAATATACTAATGTTAATATTATTTAATTGTATCATTTAAAAAGAAAACTATTTTTTGGCAATAGCCAACATTAAAACTAAAAAAACGATCAAGATTGTTAAATGTAGAAGATGATATGAGAGTAGCATTGTCATTTTTACGACCAAATATAAATGAAATTATCAAAAAACATCAAGCTCAAATTTCGCATTAAAAGTATTTTTATTATTAGCTTGTAATTAATCCCTTAATAAACGTTTAGTTATTATTGTAATATATATTAGTTTATTTCGTATATTTAAAATTTCTATCATAAACTATTTATGCAGTATGTTGTAGTAAGTAAATAATTTTTATGCCGCCAAATTTTGATCTCAACCTTTTTTTTTTGTTGCGGCACATATTAAATATGTGCCGCAACAAAAAAAAAGGTTGAGAATCACTGGTCTAGCCTATAGCAAACGTCAATGCAATATTTTATTTCGTTTAAAATGAAATTTTGCAGTGCCTATTAACTGCCCTGTTGCAAGCAAATGTCGACTTAACGTGGCGAAATTATTCTCATTATTCTCATATTCCAGATTATACAATGCTGCACGTAAAATTAAAGTCAGTTATTAATTTACTTTCTTAAAAAGCAGCTTATATTTGTTATCATTAAAACGCACACAATTAAAGCAAAAAGCACC